CAGGTTCTCTTAGATTATTACTTAGGCTTCCAATATTTCTTATTCCTTGCCTCCATTCAATTTCCTCTTGCAGAGAAAACCAAATGAAGAAAAATAATAAAAAGAGTGAGGTCTGTCATGAGCTGTTATTTTAACTCTAGTTTAGTTACCTCAAACTCTGGAGTGTCCTGGAAAATAATCATCCAGCATAATTTCCATGACCATATTGTTGAGTTATGCATTGCTTTTTACCACCACTTTAAAATTTTATTTTCTTGACACCTTTCAGGAAAAAAGCAGGGAAAGGCAGGGTACAATTGCTTTGTAGCAAAGGAACAATATTTTGATTTATCGTTGCATTTTAGCACCTTTCCTTTTCCCCACTAAACAAACTTTATTTTGCATTGTTCTGTACATCAACTTATACTCCAAGCACCTCCTTGTCAAAATTCATCCATTGACTGTATAGGTCCTGCCCCCCAGGATCCTGTGTCTCCTGGGCTGTGTCTGAGTAGTAGCCATGGCTCAAGTGTTCCCAGAACTTAGAGAGGAACTGGGAAGATTCAAAGCAAAGCTTGAAGGTATTTTTTTTTTCCTTTTTGTCTTTTTTCGTGTCCGGCAACGGATCGCAACCCTCGGTGTTGCTCCCACACCTTGCTCAGCCAGTGAGCGGGAACCGGTCTGTACGTGGGATCCGAACCCTCGGCGGGAGCGCCACCACGCTTCCCAAGCGGCGCACTGTAGCAGTGCGCCACTGGGCTGGCCCCGCTTGAAGGTATTTTTGATATAGCAGATGTTACTTATGAGTATGTTAAAAAAAAGCTTCTGGTGGTAACATTAGCACCAAAAAGGATGGGCTTCGATTCCTCCTGAGGCTGGCCAGCCACATCCTTTACCCCAATCTGAAAATCTTTTAGATCCCTTCAAAATCCCTCAATTTAGTGATAGACTAGCTTGCAATAGGAAAGAATTAATAAATGACATATGGAAGGCTTAGTACCTTATTTTATTTTTATTTACATATGTGTCTCACTGAATGCTAAACTTTCTTGAAGGTACAGATTTGTGTCTTATTCATTTTTATATCTTCCACCAAGCAAAATTACTCCTAGTCTGCAATCAATAAATATTTATTGAATTGATCTGAAATTTCAATTGGGAAGGCAGAATATAGAATTATTAAACTTTTGGTATCTCATAACCTGGCATGGCATTCTAACTCAATTAACTTGCTATATGACCTGGTGCAAGTTGGCTAACCTCTCTCTCTAATTTCCTAAACTCAAAAGTGGATTAAATGAGATAATGAATGTAACATGCTGGGCATTTCTTAAGTGCTATTTATACAATGAATATTACTGAGCTCCTACTGTGCTTTAAGTTTGAGGCAGGTGCTGGCGACAGAATAGAAAAGATGTGGGGTTCCTGCTTCATAGAGCTCAGGGTAGTTGGGAAGACAGAAACAAAATAGTCACACAAATAAATTAATTACAAATTGTGGTAAGTGCCATGGAAGAAAAAGTTCAGAATTCCATGAGACATCGTATGAGGGGGGCCTGATTTAGAGAGCTGTGGAAGGATTCTCTGAGCAAGTGGCATTTAAGCTGAAACTTAAAGGATGAGGAGATTCTCTATTTTCCCACTCCCACTCATTCAGCAGCCTTCTTTAGTCTGGCTTCCATCTCTCTACCTAAATAGCTCTTGCTAATGTCACCAATGGCTTCCGTGTTACTATATACATCTGACATTTTTCAGTCCTCTTACTTGCCCTCTTAGCTGCACTCAACACAGTTGATCACACCCTCCTTCTTGAGATACTGTCTTCTTTTGGCTTCTCTAACAACAAATGCCTCTTGATCTCTTCATCCCTCTCTGACTGTCTCTTCAGCCCCGTTTGAAGGTTCACCTGCCCCAATCCATCCATTAAATGTTCCCCAAGGCTTAGTCTTAGTTCCTCTTTTCATCTTATTCTAGACTTACGTTGTCTGATAAAAACATAACGTGAGCCACTCATGTTATTTAAGATCTTCCACATATTAAAAAGTCAAAAGAAAGAGGTGACAATCTTAACAATGTTTTTAACTCAATATATAAAAAATTATCATTTCAACATGCAACCAATGTAAAATTATTAACAAGAGATTTTACATTATTTTTGTATTCAATCTTTGTAATCTGGTGTGTATTCTAAATTATGACACATATCAATCTGTACTAGCAGCATTTTAAGTGTTCAGTAGTCATACATGGTAGTGGCTACCATATTGAACAGTACAAGTGTGAACTCTAGAGTTTAAATCCCCTTGCTGGGTGACCTTATCTCTGTCAGGGTTCCAATTCCCATCTATTAGATGATGCCTCGAATTTCATATCTGGCCCCAACTTTTCTTCTGAGCTCCAGTTCCTTACAGCCATCTGTCCTCTTCACATCTCCACTTGCATGCCCCAAGACACCTCAGACTCTGCATGTCTCACATTAAACTCATAATCTTCCCTTTCAAATCTGGGAATGTTTTACTATCTCTGTTATTTACATTACCATTCATCCAGTTTCACTGGCAGTAATCTAAGGGGCTTCCTTGATATTTCCCTCTCCCTCAATCACCTTATACAATTCATCACCAAGCCCCGCACATTTTATCTCCCAAATATCTCTTAAATCTTTTCAGTGTCTCTTCATAGCCATCATCCAAGCCGCTATCATCTCTTGTCTGGACAACTGTAATAGCCTCTAGACTGGTCTCCTTGATTTCATCTGGCCACCCTCAAGTCTACTCTGCACACTGCAGCCATGGTGGTATTTTAAAAATCTGATCATATTAACTGCAAATCCCATCAGTTAACTGTTCCCTCACCCATGAAAATACTTCAGGGGTTTCTACTGCTCTTCGGACAAAGGGATAAAGCCCTGGTATGGTCTAAAAGGCCCTCTATAGCAGCCAGACACACACACACACACACACACACACACACACGCACGCACGCACGCACGCGCGCATTGTAAGCTCTCCCTCCACCCTTTTCCTTCCTCCAAAGCCTGTACTTACCTTTCCAGTCTCATATCACATTCACTCCCTCCTTCACCTCTTTGCATTTCAACCATTCTACCATTTTTTAGTTTTTTAAATGTGTCATACTCCCTCCTGTTTTACAGACAAGAAAACCAAAGCTCAAAAAACATGTGCGCTTTCCAGAAACACAATGTTAGAGCTAGATTACCACTCTAATACTAGAATTACTATTCTTATTGTTTTTTTGGCAGCTGACTGGTACGGGGATCCAAACCCATGTCAAATTTCATATTCGTATTACAAGGCTGTGTTCTAACCAACTGAGCTAACCCGCCAGCCCCATGTCTCCTCTTTTAAATATGATGATTCTCTCCTTATTTTCCCTTTGTTAGAATATTCTCCATAAACCCTTCCCCTCCCCTTTGCCTATTTATCCTTCAGACCTCAGCCTAACTTCTACTTCATCAGGGAAGCTTTACTGGACCATTCTATCTAGGCAAATCCCCTTGTAATATGCTGTTACATCACTAGCTGTAAATTTACTTTTATTAGCATCATTGCTTGATTAATGTCTATTTCTGTTAATTGGCTTTATGATGACAAGGACCATATCTTGTCTTGCTCTCTCTATATTGTCAGATCCAGGCACACAGTAGGCACTGAATGTATGGATAGGTGGATGGGTGGATGGATGAATGAATGAATGAGTGAATATATCAGCCAGGCAAAGAGCAGCCCAGACAGAAGAACAGTGAGTATGAAGTTCTCCAAGGTCAGTAAGAACACTGAGAGCTGGAGCTAGAAAGAGAGTGGAGAGACTAGAGACATAGGCAGGGGCTGGATCATGCTGGGCATTTTAAAGGATTTTGGATAAATGGAAGCCACTTCTTTTGGGGGGGGGGTTTGTGTTTAGTTCATCAATTTTTATATTGCTAACTACCAACCAGAGAAAGCAATTTAAAATCTAAATAGAGATATATTTACAGACAGAAATAATGATATGTAAAAGAATAAGACACTAGTTTTTAGTAGGATGGGATAGGTGCTGCCTGGACCTTTAAGAAAAATAATGTACTTTCATGCAGCTGTGGTCAAAGCCTGTGTAAGATTTACTGTAAAACCACTAGCAAGAAGGCCCTTAAAGACATTTTGATGCTGATGAAACTTGGTGCCTAAGTTTAAAACTAATGAAAACACCTAAACTCTCTAGGTGGATAAAGAGCCATATTCAGGAGAAATTGAGGAGTTGGTGTAGGTAGCCAATCACAACCCATCGAGGCCACAAACTAAATCCCAAACTGCAATTTGAACATGAGACTCTCTCATAAAAGTTTGTAGGTACATAAACGGGCGAACTTCAATTACATTCTGGTGAAACGTCCAAAAGAAAAGTGCCCAGAAATAGTGAAAATGGAGTGCGAGCTCTTGCATTAATGAGAGAGGCTGTTGTGTCCCTGCGTGCCAGGACCAGTAATTCTTGTCAAGAATTGGTAAACAGCAGGAGTGTGAGAGGATCTCATTGTGATCCGAAGGTTTAAGGGTACATGAAACTAACACGGAATTCCAGGTTCCAAAATTCTCTAAGTGCCTAGACAGCCTCGCCCAGAGCTGTGATTGTATCAACGCAGTCCTTTTGAGTCATTAAAAAAGAAAACGAAAAAGAGATATGTGTACAAGTGAACACATTTCATAGCCTCTCCCCCTGCTTCCTGTGCAATGTATAAATAAGACCGCGAATATAAAACTTTTGGATTTCAGCAAAGACGCCCCTCGCTTTTGCAAGCTGCCCCGCTCCACGACGCCGGCATAGGAATCTCCAACTCACTCCGGAGCTGAAGATCCTTGTAAGCTTTACCCTACGCGGGTAGATTAGCACCGCGAATGCCCGAGGCTCGGGAGGAGTTAGGCGTTTGGTCTGGCCCCAGCGCCGCTCCAGAGGCGATTCCGACGCCCACAGTCGAGTCCTCCGCCATCCCAACATTCCTTGCGCTCCTACCATAGAGAGCAGTTTCCGGCGTCGCTTGTGTAGGTGGGTGGAGAAGGAGCGGGCCTTCGCCGCTCTGACTCGCTCCCTCGCGCTTTCTCGGGGAACATGGCGGGCGTGGAGGAGGCAGTGGCCTCCGGGAGCCACCTGAATGGCGACCTGGATCCAGACGACAGGGAGGAGGGAGCTACCTCTACAGCTGAGGAAGCAGCCAAGAAAAAAAAACGGAAGAAGAAGAAGAGTAAAGGGGCTGGCGCAGGTAAGGGGAGTTTTATGTGTTCCCAGTACCCGCCAGGAGTGGCCGAACAGCTTGGCCCAGGCCCGAAGGGGGTGGCAGGGACCGGGGACCCAGAGCACGAAACCAGACTTATTCCTAGGCCTGAGTGGGTGGCAAGGCAGAGCCCCAGATTCCCAGTCCCGAGGAGAGGTGGCTTCTCTTGTGGGACCAGAGGGCCGGTGGGAGTGGGGTGGGGGAGGAAAGAGTGCCTCATTTCCCCGTGTGGTAGCTCTTGGGTCGCAGGGCCCGAGCCCCTGTGTTGCCAGAACTCAGGTCCCACACAGACCGTGGCACGGACTTGAAACCGTGCACGGAGCACAACCCTACCATCTTCTGCGCGCTTTGGCCGCCTTCGCAAAAATCCGGTTCTGAGCCCTACTGCCGCCTCTTTGCTGGAGCAACCTGGGACGTATTTTCATCGTGGGTGGGGTGGACAATTGTAAAGCCTGACCGTACCCCCTTCCCGCCCACCTTTGCGGTTTACATTGGGGTTTTTGTTGCGGGCTGCACTTTTTGGGGTGTGTACGCCCGCGCATTCGTGTAACTAGCAATTGCAGAATATGTGGTGGTGGTGCGAATTTTCACCTGCCTAATCCCACGCATCGTCAAGATTTAGGGCCTTTAGGCCTCAATTATGATGCCACTTGCAGGCAGTGCAGATGGGGTATCCTGTGGTCCGGATGGAACTTCGCGGGCCGTACACACTAAATCCACCGCTAAGGCAAGGCATACAGCTAAAAGTTTACAATTGGATCATATTATGAGCTAAGAACTTAAACGTCTCATTTTGAAAAGTCAGTGTTTTTGTTGCACAAGCTCCTTTATTTTAGGAAAAATTGTTTTGACCTGTTTCTAATTAAAATCAGCCAGAGAAAGAATGAGGGGAAAATGGAGAAACCAGAAGTGATTAATGTGGAATTGTGAGGAGTAGGAGAGGCCTAATCTACATCTTTTTGAAATTTTTATTAGCTGGGAGTGGAAAAAGTTGACGTTGCTGGGACTCTTCCAGGTCAAAATTTAATCCCAGGACATCCTGGCTTTCAGATGAAATTCAAACTCTGCAGTTTTATCCTTTAAGGTGTTCATCAGACTGATCCTAATAAATTTTTAACAGTTGTCATCTCTCAATATGAGTCCTCTTCAGTAGCCAGAATGTCACTTCATTATGTGTTACCTGGTTCATTATGTGTTACCCTTTCTTTCTACGCATACATATTGCTCCTACAGCTAGAGTGCAGTCACTCCTAGAGCAGCGGCCTCTTGTGCTTAGATGTTCAAAAATTTTGTTTTTCAGTGATGGACTATCTTTTCCTATTTTCCCGATTTTACCCAGCCCATCGTTGCAGCTTTTATCTAAATTGAAGGCTGGAGTTTTCTTCATGAATCGTCTTCTTTCTAAGACCTTCAGCATGTATTGTCCGTCTTAAGTTTTTGTCTGGTAATTAAAGTACTGTATTTGTTGTAGTCTAATTGCTGAATACTTTTAAAAGTTAAACTACTTAACGATAGGGACCAACTCACACTTTTGTTTATACTTTAGCTGCTAGCATGTGTAATGGATATTTTGTTGAATTGATGAATGGATAATACTACTTAGGTAGGGAAGGTATTTCTCTGTCATTAAACAGATTCTTTTATATTCACAATAATGTTTCTGTTTTTGTTTCTTGTGCACTTATCAGGGAAAGATTTGTGAATTCTCCAAGATCCTTAGAACATATTCTAGAAGGAAAGAATCTTTATTAGATTTAATTTATGCTGTTTTATTTGATCAGCAGGGCAACAGGAACCTGATAAAGAATCAGGAGCCGCAGTGGATGAGGTAGCAAGACAATTGGAAAGACAAGCATTGGAAGAAAAAGAAAGAGATGATGATGATGAAGGTAAATAGTTAATTTGATATTTGCGATTAGAAAAGGTAGAAAATGTGACATTCTTTAAGCAAAATATATTTATTTGTATAGTCTGTTATTCTTTGATATTTCAGTTGTTAAATCCTTAATGTCACAGGTAAAAAGGAAAAGGTATTTATTAGCAACTCTTTAAAACATTGGGTATGTTGAATATACCCAACTTTTTAAAGAATATGTTGAATAGCTGCTCAGATAGCACAGATCTCCACTTGCTAGAAGGCCAAGTGGTAGGTGAGTATTAATCAAATAAAATTGAGAGGATGTTTATTTAATATTTTTTGAGCAACCAGTATGTACTACCATTATCCTAGGGTGCTTTCACATGCATTCTTGTTTTAACCTCATGGAAACAAATGAAGTAGCTGCTGTTCTTATTTTACAGATAGAGAAATGGTGCTTATGTGATTTGTTCAATGTGATAGTTAGTCTGTGTAGACTAGTGCCTGATCCCAAGTCTATTTCTTTTACTGTCTATACTTTTCTTCATTCTCAAAGGAGCATATTGATGCTTCTAAATTCTATAATAAATTCCCTGACCCTAGTGCCTTGTGGATATTTGGGTGCTTAAGATTTCTTTTAAAACAGCAACTGCTGGAATTCTAGTAGTTGATGCCACCAGTAAGACAGTGGAGGGAGAGAAGATTAGGTAGGAAAACTGTTGTTATTCTACAGCCTCTTATGGCAAAGGGGAAGATAGGGCTTTCCCATTCTTTGAGTTTGTGATTATATCCTGCCGTGATCACCTGTACCACCGCAAGTACTACCAGCCTAGAATTATGCCTTTCAGCCATCAGTAGGAGCTGTATTTACTGTGTTAGGGTAATGTAGAGTAGTTGTTTTTCCTTTAGAAAGATATGTTCTCTGCTTTCAAGATGCTTACAGTCAACATTTGGTGGAAAAAGTGCCAAGATTCAAGGGAATTGTTAGCTTTTCTTCTTCTTTGAGCAAATCTTCATTCTATCTTGGTTTATGCTTCAGATTATGCACATATTTTGAGCTCTTTAACAAGAAAGAGGTTTGTTAATTCAGGGTAATATAGTAGGTTGCTATAGATCCACTACGTGTAGAATATCACAATGCTAATCTTGAAGCGTGCCTTTGTTCTACTGTACCTCTGCAAGGTTGTGTAAATCTCCTGACATTGAAAGGGAAAATTTTTGCTTGTCAGATTGGAAATATTTAATTTATTAAAAATGATTTTAGGGGGCCGGCCCGGTGGCGCACTGGAGAGTGCACCGCTTGGGAGTGTGGCGGTGCTCCCACCGAGGGTTCGGATCCCATGTGGAGACCGGTTCCCGCTCACTGGCTGAGCCGGTACAGCAGTGATGGTGTGGTGGAGAAATAAAACATAGAGATGAAAGGGTATTCTGGTAATTGTAAGATTTATTGAAATTTGGAGGTGGAATTGTGGATGAATGCTGAAGGAGTGCTCATTGGAAGGAATTGGACTTGAATTAAACCAAATAGAAGAGACTATTTTGGGTAGGGATACTGAGAAAGTATTTGAAGCACAGTGGACAGTGTAAACTGGCCTTATGAGATGATTCATTGAGGGAGGCTTTGAACATTTTTAAGAATGTTATGAAAGAATAATATTGGTTTCGTATATATGCAGTGTTGTTTAGAGGAGAGAAAATGTATAGGAAAGGCAAGGAGATCATTTTGGAGGCCACTTAGCAATGCTCAGGCAAATGGTAATTTAAACTGATAGTCATAAATAGGAATGGAAAGGAAGGATCCAATGAAACAGTGTTGTGGAAGCAGAATTCAGAGGACTTGGAGTTTTTCAATAAGAGGAGCAGGAAGAAGGAGAGACATTAGTGGATTCCTGGGTTTGAACTCGGATGACAGAATGTTGATGCTGTTAAAATAGTGAAGTTGGGACAGAGAGCTGGTTAGAGATTGGTGGAGGGGGTTTGCAGGCAAAGAAGGTATCGAGTTTAATTTTAGATGTATTAAATTTGAAACTAGAGTATCGATGTGAAAAGTTGATCCTGTGGGCATCTGGCAATGTATTAGAGGCAATTCATTCAATAAATTTTTTTTTTTCCCTTTTTTGTCTTTTTTTCGTGTCCGGCAACGGATCGCAACCCTCAGTGTCGCGCCCGTACCGGACCGGCAACGGGATCGCAACCCTCAGTGTTGCTCCCACACCTTGCTCAGCCAGCGAGCGGGAACCAGTCTGTATGTGGGATCCGAACCCTCGGCGGGAGCGCCACCGTGCTCCCAAGCGGCGCACTGTAGCAGTGCGCCACCGGGCCAGCCCTCATTCAATAAATTTTAAGACAGGCTTATTAATGTGTAATTTGCCTAAAATAATTATCACCCTTTTAAAGTATATAGATGGTGAGTTGTGACAAATGTACACAATTGTGTAACTACTGTGTCAAGCACAATATAGACCATTTTCATTTAACATTTCCATCTCCACAAAAGTTTCCTTATGTCCCCTTGTAGTCATTTCTCTTATTCCACACCTGACTCTTGGCAGCCACTGATATGTTTTGTCCCTATAGTTTTGCTTTTTCTAGAATATCATGTAAATGGAATTATTCAGTATGCAGCTTTTTGTGTTTTTTTTTTTTTTCCTTCCTTTTTTTGTCTTTTTTCGTGACCGGCAACGGATCGCAACCCTCAGTGTCGCGCCTGGACCGGACTGGGACCGGCAATGGGATCGCAACCCTCGGTGTTGCGCCCGCAGCTCGCTCAGCCAGTGAGCGGCCGGTCTGTACGTGGGATCCGAACCCTCGGCGGGAGCGCCATCGCGCTCCCAAGCGGCGCACTGTAGCAGTGCGCCACCGGGCCGGCCCAGCTTTTTGTGTTTTTCTTGTTTCACTTAGCATAATACTTTTTGACAGTCATCCAGTTGTTGCATGTATATCAGTAGTACATTCCTTTTTATTGCTGGGTAGTATTCCAGATTTGTTTATCCATTTACTGGTTGAAGGATATTTGGGTTGTTTCCAGTTTTTGTTTATTATGAATTAAGTTACTATGAATGTTTGCATATAGTTCTTTGTGTAGAGATATATTTTCATTTCTCCTGGGTATACCAAAGAGTAGGATTGTTGGTCATATGGTAAGTCAGTGTTTAACCTTGTAGGAAACTGTCAAACATTTTCCAAAGTGGCCATACCATTTTGCATTCTTATCAGTAGTGGTTGAGAGTGCCAGGTTGTTCATATCTTTGGCACTTGTTATTGTCATTTAAAAAATTTTAGCCTTTTTAATAGGTGTGTAGTGGTATGTCATTGTGATTGAACTTGTGCTTCCCTAGTGATATTGAGCATCTTTTGTGTTTTCATTTGCCTTTCATATATCTTTGAAGTGTTTGTTCAAGTCTGTTGTCCATGTTTTATCATATTGTTTGTCATCTTATTAAGTTGTAATAGTTCTTTGTATATTCTGGATGCAAGTTCTTTATCAGATATATGTTTTACAGATATTTTCTTCCATGCTGTGGGATGTCTTTTCACTTTTTTTGATGGTATTGTTTACAGCACAATTTTAATTTTGATGAAGTCCATTTTATCTATTTTTTAAATTTATGGGTGGTGCTTTTTGTGTCCTGTCCAAAAAGTTAAATTATTGCTGTCTCTAAGGTCATGAAGATTTTCTTCTATGTTTTTTTTTCAAGAACTTTTATATATTTTTAGCTGTTACATTTAGGTCTGCGGTCTATTTAGAATTAATTTTTCTATATAGTGCAAGGTAAAGGTTGAGGTTCTTTTTTTTTTTTTTTTTTTTTTTTTTTAGATGTCCACTTGTCATTCAGCAGATATCAGTTGATTTGGGCATAGTGTTAATACAGAAAGAAATATGACCCAGTCCCTGCCTATTAAGAATATCCTGGGTTGCTATGAAAGAAAGATATTTGAAAACATAAAGTACAACATGGTATTATGGTTGGAACTGTTAGCATATGTGAGTATAGTTTCATATTCAGATCCTGGCGCAGAGTTCAGTAAATGGTGGCAATTATTCGTATTGAATGCATGTGTTGGACATTGGATAAGGTAATTAGCCTCAGAAGGATGATAGATATGAAAGAAGGACCACCTTATTATCCTATTTTAAAGATGAAGAAACAATGGTTAGAAAGAGGCTAAATAACTTGCCCAAGGACACACAGCTGGAAAGATTTTTAGTATGTTTAAAATTAGTTATACATCTTGAAGCATTTGTTTTAGGTTGAATCTAGTGTATATAGCAGTATGCTAGACACTGAATGCTTTCCAGAGTTAAAAACGATCTTATTTACACTTCTGTCCTTATTGTCAGGCACTTAAGAACTCAACAAACATTTAATGGAATTAAGAAGGTACTGTTAAAGTTGTAGTGCAGAATATGTGAATTAGATGATATGGCGCATGAAGGACGTTGAAAGCTGTGTTTTCCAAAACATTTTGTGTTGTTTTTGTTAGGCTTTTGAATCTAAAAACCAATGAGTAAGTCAGCAATATTTGTGTTTCCACTGTTTTCTTCTGCATAGTAGGTAGGTTTTGGTTAATTTTATAATATTGAACCTAAGAAATTGCAATTTTCTAGGTAAAAAATTGTCAAATATTGGCAATTTCATATTGTTCAACCCATGTAAGTCTTAGATGCTGTTTCCTCTCTCTCTGATAAATTGCTGCTTCCTGTTTCTTAAGTGAAGCAATAAATATAAATAAGATAAAGTAAACTAAAATAACATTTATTCATTTGTTGAATAAACCAAATACCATGTGTTTGCCACTGTGCTTAGTTTAAGGGATGGTGTCTAATTCTTAAGGTACCCACAGATGAGTAGTGTAAACCAATAATTGCAATTTTGTGTGATAATTAAAAGACTATTGTAGGTAGGGTCGTGGGAGAATTTCTTTTATGGCTCTTCTTTATCAATTTGAGAGTAAAAAGGGAAGACTTCAAGAAGAAAATGTAAGAGTCATTTGACATTGTTTTATAAGTATGGATTTTACTATCTAAAATTATTGGTGAGTTACTGCCAGTAGGTGAAATGTTTAAAAGAATACTATATGGTGAGGACACTACTAGACTTGTCAACTTCTGATTGTCCAGGATAGCATCCTATTCATCTTTATTTCATAGCAGTGTGATTTGTGAATAAATTTGGGTACTTCAAAAGTGATTGATGAAATTTATTGAGCGGCATTTTTAGAAATTCAGACATTTAGGTCTATTTTTGATATCTTTATTTAAAATGTTCTATTGCGGGGCTGGCCCGGTAGCGCACTGGGGAGTGCACCGTTTGTTGGCGCTCCCGCCGAGGGTTCGGATCCCATGTGGAGACCGGTTCCCGCTCACTGGCTGATTTGTTGGCGCTCCCGCCGAGGGTTCGGATCCCATGTGGAGACCGGTTCCCACTCACTGGCTGAGCGAGGTGCGGGCGCAACACCGAGGGGTGTGATCCCGTTGCCGGTCCCTGGTACAGGCACGACACTGAGGGTTGCGATCCCGTTACCGGTCAGTAAAAAAGACAAAAAGAAAAAAAAAATGTTCTATTGCTATTTGTTTCATCTTGTCCTTAATAGTCCTTAACCTTTTCTCAAAGTTTAAAGGTTTGGGCATAGGCTTCATAGAAGATGGTTATAAAAACTTGCAAGCAGTTTCATTGCTGTTTTGGGTACTGTTTTGCCAACCATTTTCCAAAATAGTTGTTAACATCAATTTTGGGGCATCGAGGTCTTTTGAGAATTTGAGAACAGTGAGCCTAGAAAAAGTATAAATGCCCACTGATGTTTGCATACAAATTGACCCAGAAGAAGAACTCTTTCTCTGATGACAGCTATGTATAAGAAAAGACATTATAAAATATGAGATCCAAAATATCCCTCCATAGATTAGGAATCAGGTGACATATATTCTTTGTCCAGTTCTGCATTTACCAGTTGGGATTATCTTAGGCAAGTACCTTAAACATTCATTACTCTACAGGGTTGCTTTGAGGATTATATGAGTCATGACATACAAGTGTTTAACTGCAAAGCATATGTGAACTGTAACTGCTATTATTTTAGGTGAAGTGGCAGGACCATTATTATTGATATTGAACTAACACTAGTTATGTTTCCTAGCTTCGTGTGTGTGTGTGTGTGTGCGCGCGCGCGCCGCTAGCTGGTAGAGGGATCGAACCCTGACCCTTGGTGTTAACAGCACCATGCTCTAACCAACTGAGCTAACCACCCGACCTCTTTCCTCACTTTTTAGAAAGGAAGTTAATACATTTCTTGTTCTTAAAATTCTTATTCAACAATTCTTTTATTAGAGTGAGTTAGAGTAAAATTTACTAGTGGTTTTGATTACATAATTCAAACTCTGATACTTAAATCTAGCAACATACAAAAATATTTTAAGAGTATTGGGTGAACTTTGTCATATGCTATTTAAGAGGCATTGTATGTGGGGGTGTGGGTGCGCACTTGTCTCCTTGTGCTTGCTTTGTCCATCTGCTTATGAAGTTTAAATGAATATGTACTTTAAATTGTCTTTTCTTAGATGGAGATGGTGATGGAGATGGAGCAACTGGAAAGAAGAAGAAAAAGAAGAAGAAGAAGAGAGGATGTTAGTGTCTTAAGTTAATCTTACTTGATAAATTAGAAATGATTTTTAACCCACAGGTTTGAAGAGTAAGTTTGAAGTTGCTTAAAGTCCTGATATATGTCAGGGAAATAAACTTAGGCTTAATAGAGGTAGAATTTAGTGAAACTAATAATTATTTAGCAAATACTTTTAACAATCTTGTTGGTATTTTTTTAGCTGTTATTCAGCTAAGAGATGTTAATGTGAGTTGGTTGCATTTACTGCAAGTCAGGGATGAGTTCCTAAAAATTTTGTAATTTAAAACTTGCATAATCCAAATAATTCTGTCAGGGCTGGCAAAAGTGGTTCCACTGTGTGGCAATAGGGTAAACAGTTTCCAGTTTACTTGCCAGCTGTGAAATTATGAGATTCTTGGTGAATATTTAATAAGGAGTTCCATTATTTAAAATGTGTGCATATAGTGAGATTTTATTAATAACTTTTATATTGTGCTATTTCAAATTTGTATAAAATATGATCCTGCTTGTTTTACTTTTCTATAAAAAAATCTTCAGCAGCCTGAAAATATATTAGGGCTGTTAAAGAGAGAGTATATAGCATTGGGTAGTAATGGTTGGGATGAGGATCAGAACATGTAAGTTCTAATCTTGGATGCTCTTTGGGCTGTCGGGGACCATTGAGTGTCAGATTATGCCTTTCTTTAAAATCTTTCAGGCTAAACTTTTATGAATCAGAATTTTGAGGGCTTAACTTCCATTTTAATCTCTGTGTTGAGAGAAGTCTTCAGTTTTTTTTTTTTTTAAAGGAAGCCCTTGCCTCTCAGTCAGCCATTTCCTTCGTGTATCCCCAGGTGGAGGTGGGATAACTTTTTTCTGTTCAGGCATCCATCCTTGCTAGATTCTTCTCCCATAAGAGGATGTCAGTCCTGCCCCTAGCCTCTGAAGGCACATGAGTCTGTATTTAATGAGCATTAGTTACTAGCATTTCAGGAATCTTCTAGGGATTATTATGTTCTGTTCCTTCCATTCAAAAATCATTAAAAGTGTGGCTGTGAGAAATGGTATTATTTGAGAATAATTTGAGAGATACTTATTTCTCCATATACTCTAAAATTGCTCCCTAACGAAGGCAGACCATCAGGGAGGAGTGTTAAGGGACTGTTCTGTATTTGCCCTTGATAGAATTCTTCCCCTGACAGATGTTTTATTATGCCATCAACCTTTATCTGTCTCCTCTTAGGATGTTGTTGAATTTACTGTTCGTTATATTTCTTTATGAGTACTCTCAAGAGACCTTCTTTTTTCCCCTGGACGTATGGACTTAGTTTCAAGAATAGTCATGCCTTTCCTGAATAGTTGATCTATTTTATCTGAGAAACACATGAACTCTGCAAATAACCTTGCCTTTTTTTTTTTTTTTAAATACTGGCTACTAGAGGGCTTAGAGCCAAATCTGTCATTTCATGTTGGCCTTCTTACAGGTTCTATTTTATGTTCTTTTCCTTGTTTTGATTTTTTGTTTTCTAATTTACTTTGAATGCCTCTTATTTGCGTATTTTTGATCTCCTGTAGGCTACCTTCAGTCACTTCTGGTATAAGCCAAATAATGTAATCATGGGCAATTCACTGCTCTCATTTTCCTCATCTATAAAGTGGGAGAATTATGAATAATAGCTAATGATAATTGAAGTACATATTATTATAGGTTATTCATAATTTTATATAATGACATGGACATAGTACATTTATAATTTTCGGAGGTTATCCTGGATTTCATCTGATTCTTCATTTTGTAGGTGAGGAAAATGAGGCTTGGCAACATTTAGCCATTTGTCCAAGTCACAGCTAATAAGTGGTAAAGGCTAGTCTTCAACTCAGACATTCTGATTATAAATTTTTTATTCTTTTCTCTAATGATCTTTTTGAGTCTTTTAAGTATTGTACCTTAATAAAGGCATCTTTACGAGATTTGTAGATGAGATAAAACTGGGGATGATGAGATAATCAAAAATCAAGATTTCAAATTCAAAAGGATAGGATAGCTGAGACAATAGGCTAATATTAAAAACCTGAAATTTTACAGAGATAGATGTAAAATTAGTACAAGTAATAGGATTTTGAGTGCTAATACAATGTGAACCAAAAACAAAACAAAACAAGGAGTCTTCAGTTATTTCAGTAGCAGTAGGAATTTTAGAATCAGCAGTATAGTGTTATGCTAATTATACCCTATTTGGCCTATTAATATAAATACATTCTGGCACCACCTTAAAAGGAACATTGACAAATTCAAGGTTGTCAAATATAGGTGAAAGTGATGAGAACCATATCCCTTGAAGTAGTTTCTCATCGTAGAGAGGGAGGAATCAGTAGCAATGCATAGTAGACTTTTTTTTTTTAAACTTCAAAGAATCAAGCTAGGAAACTAGGACTAGTAGATGAAAGTAATAGGGAGACAGATGAGTGTAGGAAGAGCTTTCTAACAGTTATAGCTCTCCCAAAATGAATGGGTTATAGCTTTACAGATAGTGACTGCCTCCATTGTCAGGAGCTCAGTGCCATTAGTCAGAGGTGTTAGGAGGGGGATTCCTAGATTAAGTGTGAGGCTGAATTAGATAATCTCTAAGATCTTTTTTGATTTTATAATTCTGTTTTCTCTTAGAAACATGAAATAGGAGGAGCCTAAAACAGTGTTTCCCAACTTTACTTTCCCATAGAACACTTTTAAGCATTTTTATGCAAAGAGAGAAAACCAGTTGGCACTAGTGAAATACTGGTGTGTTTGGATTAAAGGAGGGAGCCAAAATGGTTCCATAGATAAATGATTTGCCTCAATAAATGGTCATATTTTTACTTATGTACCTCTTTTTTCCCCTTTGCAGAACAAGAACAGCAAAATATATGTTAAAATTTAAGACAGAAATTTATAACACAAGACCAATTATAGTCAAAAGGGAGCCATATACTTCACCTCCATAGTTGGTAAATGCTGGAGGTGTATACATTGAAGTCATATATTGCTGTGTAAATTAGCTCTCATACAACTTTTTGGTATTCCTTGGATACAGAATTAATTTATAAAAGGCAAATCTTCATATAATAAAAGCTATATATCTAGTTCTTATGTATTTTAAACATTTTTATAAAAAAAAATCTAGATTTTTTTTTTTTAAAGCATCTTGGGGAACACTGGTGTTTTTTAATATGTAGTTTGGGAAATAATGTTCTAAAATATTTGCTAAATACTGTAGCTTTTTTTAAGTATCTGGAAATTTACACGTGGCTACCTAAATTCTTTTCAGTATTGATCATATATGCCTTTAACTTTTATACTGAATATGTCATTGAAAATAGTTTTTCACATACTTATTAATGCATTGTAGATTTATATTTTTATTTTATTGCTACAGGACTTTTTTTGTGGTGGTTGTTAAAAGTTTTGGTTTTTATTTGTGAAAGCCAACTTCTATGTGCTATCTCATTTCTGGTATAGTGAATGAAGATGAAAACATTAGAAGTGTGCTTTCTGCCAAGGCATACGCTGTTTAAATACATAATGGAGTTCTCAGGGGTTGAAGATTTCTTTTCCCAGGCAGCAACAAATCAGAGAGGAGGTGGCCAGAGTGGTGAAGTGTTTTCTGTTTTTAACTGTAAGGTGACAGCAAGAAGGTTCCTTAAAATCAGGACATAAACAACCATTAGGAACTGAGGAAACTGTTATAACTGCTTAATTTTATTTTTAACTATAGAAGTTAATGCTTTATTTGTATCTCACAGCAAAAGTCCAAACAGACCCTCCCTCAGTTCCAATATGTGACCTGTATCCTAATGGTGTATTTCCTAAAGGACAAGAATGCGAATACCCCCCCACACAAGATGGGTAAGGATCATAAAATAACTTCCATTTTGACTTTTGACAGTTGTAGCTTAGCAATAAAGCAGATTTTATTTTTCTCAGAACTTTGCTCCACCGCTTTGATAAAAGCTTGTGAATTTGTTGCAAAGAAAATACAGTAGAAGCCCTCTTATCCAAAATGATTGGGACCGGTGGCAGGTTGGTTGATCAAAAAGTATGTTAAAGTGGGGATCACAAAAAAATGAAAACCTTTGTAGATGAAGGTTAATGTAAACAAATTTGTTTTTCACCTCACTTGATTTTTGAGCATGGTTTTGCATTGGATTCCATTTTCCCCCTATAAACTATTCATAATGCATTATCTGTGACGTCCATTTTGGGTTTTTGTGAAGAGGAACAAGAACTGAGTGATGTAAGGGTTGATGTCTGTATTTTTACATTTTTTTCCTGAAACCATCTGCAGTTCTTATCTACACTTAATTTGACAGAAGTATTTTGATAACTTGTTTTTATTGAGATTTTTCAGAGTAGTCAGTTTAGTTTTTGTAGAAACAGTTCTTTTTATGTAATGTTAAATTACATAATTGCATAACAAGTACAGATGACTTAAACAGGTTTGGGAATAAATTCACCTTATTCTTAGAAGTGTTCTATAAGGATACATTTCAACTGGTCGGCAGAAACTCACAGTGGCATACAGACTGAGCATGGAAGCTGGGACCAAACTATCTGCATTTGAATCGCAGTTCTAGCACTCATTAGCTTCGTGACTTGGGCAAGTAATTTATCATGTCTGTGCTTTCATTTCTTCATCCATAAAATCGGTACTTTGTAGGATTATTGTGAAGAGTAACAATATATGTAAAGCACTTAAAAGAGATGCATAGTGAGCATTAAGTAAGTTAGCTGCTCTTATTATTCAGAGTAGTAACCCGTCAGCTGAAAATATTCAGAGTGCCATGGGCATTGGTCAGTATGTTTTACAGAGAGGATTAAGAGCATTGGTTAACACAGTGGTTGCAATAGTTGGTTAAGAAAGCTTCTACTGTGGCGTCATTTCATTTGCCTATAAAGACAGCATTGTTTTTCTTTAAAGGTAGAAAAGAACATACTAACGTTATATTTTAACTTTCTCCCTCATCCCAATTATGAATATTCTTAGGGAATAAGTCTGTAAAATTCTGGAATTTTATGACATAGGCATCTTTTCTTTGAATTTGAATTCATCAATTGCTATATGTATCTTAAAGCATCTATTTTTAAAATATCACAGATAACATGTAATTTTACATTAGTTACATAAATTCTCATAGTACCTATGATGTGATCACATTTATTTTTAAATATAATCTTTTAATTTTTTTTTTTTTTGCTTGTTCTCTCTTCTTTCCCTTCCTTCCAGACTCATGTTAACCACCTAGCAGGTAGCCTTCCATATTTTTCTATGCTCATATATTTGTACATCTGTCTGTCTATGTAAGAGGAGTGTTTTGGTTGTTGTTTGTTTTACAGAAGTGTAAAGGCACACCTATGCTTTTATTCCTCCACCTTGCTTTTCTTATTCAGTACTACCTCTTCAAAGTCCCTCCAAGTCAATTAGAATAGTTATGTTATTATTTTGAATGGCTTTGTAAGATTCCCTGGCGTGAATAAGCCATACATTATTCCACGTTTCTCTAATTGGTGGGCATTCACTTTGTGTCCAGTTTTTTTGCCACTATTAACCATTCTGCAGTAAACCTCTAGTTAGGTAGGTAGAGCGTATATATGCAGTATGTATCTCATGTATTGGTAGTTTTATAATTATGAGACAGTTTTCCAAGAGTGGAATTCTGAATCAGAATATGTTAATACTTTAGTTTACGATTCTTCAACTACTAGTGATTTTTGAGCATCTTTTGATTGTTGGATTTGTTTATGGTATCTTTTCCTCTTCCAGAAGTTTTAAAATTTTAAATGGGAATAATATATTCTAGTGGATTGAATGACCACCTTTGTTATATAGTACTATATTCTCATGTATAATGGAGTCAGTTTCTGGATTATTTATTCCCCTACACTCATCTGTTTGTCTATTCTTATGCTAATAGTATTTTGATTTTCATATCAGAAACTTTATAATATATTCTGGTAATTTCATAAGACAAGTCATTGTCTCCTGCCACACATACTCAAACACAGTTCTTTTTAATACTTTTCTTAGCTATTTTCAGTCTTGTAGTCTTTACACACACACACAGACATGCTGTTGTTAGAATTCTGATCAGAATTGCATTATGTTTATGTATTGGTTTCTGAAAATTGACAGTTTTATCACATTGCCATCCAATATCCTGGTGTTTTTTTTCACTTATTCATTTTTTTTTTCAGGTAGGTCCTATTCATTTTTTGTTAAATTTATTCGTAAGTGTTTTATGGTTTTTGTTACTGATGTTAATGAAATATTTTTATTCCCATTTCCATTTCTATATGCTTGTTGCTAGAGTGGAGAAAAGCCATTGATTTCCTATACTTGTCAACAGATTGTTAATATTTTTTAACAACGTGAGTATTGTGGAACACTTGAAGTGATATTTAATACATGAAAAAAATTGAGATTTTGTAAATCTCAAAAACTACCTTTGCTATCAGTTCTATTGCAAATTAAACATAGATGTAGAATAACTTCTCTTTTTGAAATAATGGATGAAGATATTAATTACACGAGTATATGATTATACTTCCCAAGGTAATACTTTTCTTAAATATTGCAGTGCTGTCCTGGAGAAATACAATGGAAGTGTAAGATAGTGTGATAATGCTTACTCTTTAATAAATCTCAACTTTTTTTGCATTCATATAACCAGTTTAGACTATTTGCAAATAGATCAGAATCTATATTCTTATAGATTTGGTAGAGTATCGAATGTAGTTTGTATCTTGCCTTCTTTTTTAAAATAAAGTTTTATTAAAAAATGAATGAAGGGCCGGCCCGGTGGCGCACTCAGTAGAGTGCGGCGCTTGAGAGCACGGCTGCGCTCCTGCCGAGGGTTTGGATCCCATATAGAGACTGGTCCGCTCACTGGTTGAGCACGGTGCGGGCGCAACACCGAGAGTTGCGATCCCGTTACCGGTCACAAAAAAAGACAAAAAGGAAAAAAAAAAAAAGAATGGATTATCACAAAGAACTCAACTGTGAAACTACCAGGTTGAGTGCATTCTTTTTTTTTTTTATAAACTTTTTATTTTGAAATAATTCCATTCTTACGGAAAAGCTGCTAGAATAATGCAAAGAACTCCCACATAACTTTTGCCCACATTCCCTTTGTTTTGCCACATTTATTTTATTGTCTCAATGAAATATGACATTTATACATATTATGTATCACACAGAAGTAACATTCCATCTTCTTCCTGAAAGATAGAAAAATAGAAGGCAAATGTGAAAAATGTTAAAATTTGTGAATCTGTATATATACTTTTTTTTCTGAACTATTAGAGGGTAGGTTGTGCATATTTGTCTAGAATACTAGATAAGTAGATATGGTGTCCTTTTCAGGGTGTCACATCTGGAAGCATACAATGTCAGCTTGCTCCTTATTGGTAATGTTAATTTTTATCACTTGGTTAAGGTATTATCCAGTTTCTCCAGTGTATCATCACACTGTTTTTTATCATTACATCGTGTTTTTTCCTCTTGTAATTAGTAATTTGTGGGAAGTTGCTTTCAGAGTGTTTAAATATCCCATTCCTTATGAATGCCCGCCTCACATGTAGCATACATTGATGATCCTTGCTTGAATCTGTTTTTCCTATGATGGTTTGTGCCCTTTTTAAAAAATTAATGTTCTGTGTGCCTTTCCTGCATTGTAAAAATTTTTTGAAAACTTTTATTTTTTTAAAGTGGCTGGCCAGTAGGGGGATCCAAACCCTTGGCCTTGGTGTTCACAACACTGCATTCTAACCAACTGAGCTAACCAGCCAGCCCAAGAAATCAATTTTTAGTAGCTTATAGTGCTATTCTATTTTGTATTTAGGATAGTTTTATTACTCATTTCCAGATTTTTGAACGTACATGTATTGTTGCCAATTTTATATCATTAAAAAAATTCTTTGCTGACCATTTTAGTCTGTTAAAAATCAGATACGATTTTTCTCTTATTCTAAATACCTAGAAGTAGAATGAAAAAGCATTTTGAAATTCTTGATGCCTGTTTCTAAATTTAGTAGGCAACATTTTGTGGCAATTATTAATTTTATAAGCAATACGTATTCATTATAGAACAGTTACGAAATAAAGATAAAGCAAGGAAAGAAATCTCCTTAATTCTGCCAACAAATAAAACCCACCGTTAACATTTAGTGTTTTTTTCCTCTAAACCCTCTATATAAATGTGTTATAAATACCTGGGAATGTTTTTCAAGATATAACTATACTGCAAAACAGTATTTTATAATGCCTGAATAAATGTGTATACCATAATTTTTGTGCTCAGTCCTCTTTTACTGGACATATAGTTTATTTCTAGTTGTTTGCTATTATAAACAATGCAGGGATAAATATCTTTATGTCATTTTCAACCTTTCCGTTTAATGAAAATTTTAAACAGAAAGTAGAAAGAATAGTGTCATGAACTCACTACCTGTATTTAACAGTTCTTAATATTTTTCCATATATGTTTTATCTCTCATATATATGTAATTTTTGGTTATTGTTGATTGTTTTTCCTTCCTTTTTGTTTGTTTCTTTTTTTTCCTGCCAGACCATTTAAAAATGTCTTAGATATTTTGACTCTTCACTTATAAAAACTCAACCATCTCAAGAATTAGACATTCTTCAAGTTATCACATGTAAACACCTGCTTAATATTTAGATTTTTGTTGTTGTTGTTGTTCTTGGGACATCTTTTTAGCTATATATATTTTCCAAAACCAGGATCCAGTCAAGGTTCATACATTATATATGGTTAGAATCCCCACCTCTTTCTTTCTCTCCATTGCACTGACTCTTTGAAGAAACTAGGCAGTTATAGAAAGTCTCACGTTCTGGGATTTCTCCCTTGGGACATCTTTTTAGCTATTTATATTTTCCAAAACCAGGATCCAGTCAAGGTTCATACATTATATATGGTTAGAATCCCCACCTCTTTCTTTCTCTCCCTTGCACTGACTCTTTGAAGAAACTAGGCAGTTATAGAAAGTCTCACGTTCTGGGATTTCTCCAGTTGTTTCTTTGTATTGTTGCTAACTTTTTTCTTCTATTTCCGTATTTTCTGTTAACTGGAATTAGGTGTAAACAGGCTTAGATTAGTTTTAGGTTAAACATTTTGACAGGGATATATCGTAAGTGATTGTGACCTTCCTATTGTAACATATTTTGTTGCATTAGATGTAATGACAGGCTGTCCTACTATTACTTTTAATGTATTTGATCACTTGATTAATATGGTGACAGCCAGCTTTTTTTTTCTTAAGTTACTTTTTTCTTTTTGTAGTTTCCAAGTAATCCGTGGGGTACTTTGGTTAACACTGGAATATCCTTTTCTTTAATAACCTTTCAATTAATTGTTTTAGTGTCCATTGATGATCCTTGCTTTATCAGTTATTTTATTGAGGACTGCAAAATGGTGGATTTCTAATTCCGTCATTCCTTCTGCACTTATTAGCTGATATTTTTCTGTAAGAAGAGTTTCCTCTTATTAACTGAGAATCACCTATAGTTTCATCTTAAAGGCAGAGTTTAAGCATGTTTTATGTTTACCTTTTAAGTATCAGTTTTCAGAGGAAGGAATTTGTGTCATATCTCAGTGCATTTTAATTATTTTGGGGTTAAAAGCATGCTATATGGGGATCTGACAGGCAAGTATTTTTAAAGGGTTTTATAAATATGGCATATAGTGCTTTAAAAATACAATATAATTAGCTTTTAAGTTACCTGCCATTGGTTCAGAAATATTTGTGGCTATTTGAAATTAACTAATGTTTGTATATTTTTATTTGTATCTTTTGATTTTACTTATATTTTCCCCCTTCTGTACATCCACTAGTAAAAATGATGAGATGTTGAAATATCAAAGAGGTGGGAGGAATTTACATACTCTGTAAATATTTCCTGTAAAGATTATCTTTTAAGCAGCAGTTGTTTTTAAAGTTTTGTTTTACAGACATAATAATATATTTAAAAAGCATTTCTGCCCTGCCTCTGTCAGTTGGATGAATTAATTGACTTTTGAAATAAACTTATGAACTCACAATGATCATTATTTTTTTAATCATATCTTAATAATTTCGATTTTTTTGGTAAATAGACTGACCATCAAAAGATCAAGTGTAGGAAAAGGGAGAGACTCCTTCATGATAGTCTTTGTCCTTTGTTTGAGCCTGGAGTTATTATTACTAACCTTGATGGTAGGTTTCTTAAGTATTGCTAATGGCTTTCAATTTGAACTTAAGACTTTCAGCAAAAATAGTTTCTTTAATCCAATTTCTGATTGTTCTCTCCAGGAAAGATTTTTGGATTAGTGGGGGAGAAAGGGCAGGGGTTACAACTAGAGGTCAGGAAATTGTGGCACCCTTAGAATGTAACTTGTCTGTCACTAGCATGGAGCAAGCAACTTGTATGTGTATTGTAGCTGAAAAAGTTGAACCACTTCTCGAGAATATACTTTTTTTTTTTTTTTTCCGGTGTCCGGCAATGGATCGCAACCCTCAGTGTCGCGCCCGTACCAGACCAGGACCGGCAATGGGATCGCAACCCTCGGTGTTGTTCCCACACCTCGCTCAGCCAGCGAGCGGGAACCGGTCTGCATGCGGGATCCGAACCCTCGGCGGGAGTGCCGCCGCACTCCCAAGCGGCGCACTGTAGCAGTGTGCCACTGGGCCGGCCCTCGAGAATATACTTTTTAAAGGATCTTATCCTATTACTTTCTAGTCTGATGGTCTTATACATAGATAGGGTGTTTGTTTGAACACTTTGATTAGAAGTTGCCTGAGTTTTCACTGTTCCTATAAAAGTAATTTGTACATATTTAAATACTTAGAGTTTAAAATTGACTTTAAATTGATGGTACTGTAGTATTTTTGTTATATGATAACATTAGTAGATAGATCCAATATACATTTCTAAAAGAAGCCAAGGAAGTCTCTGATGCTTCCGTATAGTACCCCAGTGCCGGAGTCACATAGGACAGCTCCTTGGGCCTTTGTAGCAAATTAGAGGTGCTAGATGATGGCACACAAGTAGCAGCAGCAGTAGGAAATAATCTATAGTGAATTTGAGTGGCACACAGAAAAACTCAGGAAGTGTTATGGGACTTTAGCTTAGGTGTCTCTAATTTAGAGCAGAGTTGGGCAAACTTTTTCTGTAAAGGGCCATATAGTAAATATTTTAGGTTTTTACTGTTATTCAACTCTGCTGTGGTAGCATGAAAGTAGCTATTGGCATTACATAAATGAAAGGGCACAGCTGTGTTGCAATAAATTTTATTTACAAAACAGGCACCAGGCTGGATTTGCCTGGAGGCTGTAGTTTGCTGACCACTGGCTTAGGGTATTCTTTGAAGGCATCTCTTTTATACTTCAGTGTAATGTATACTTCTGTTCACTGAGCTGTAACAAATCTTTAAAAGATTTTCATTCTAAAACAGTTAATGTTTTTTGGAAATGTAGTGCTTAAAAGGAGTCAGTGGGTCTTATTCTCTGATACTGAATATAAAAATCAGTTTGTTTACCCCTGGCAGTGTTAACATACGTGAGCCATATCTTTCAAAGAAGATTACCTCTAACATATACACAATTAGAAAAATCGTGTACAAGCATGTAACATTATGTGTTTCGAGGAAAGTTTATGCAGATTTCTAGGTTAGGTCTTTGGATTAGTACTTACCCTGTTGGCAAAGTTAAATACTAATTTTGTTGTGTTCCTTTGACATCTCTTAACTATATATCACCTCAGGTGGAAGAGTGACTTTTTTCACGCACTTGGTTTCTAGAGTCTTCTGACTTTTCTAGTTCTCCCCTTTCTTGACATTTGTGTTGTTAGGGTATCAGTCCTTGTGATTGTGAATGAAATCTATCTTAAAGATTTCTCCCTCCCTCACCTCCACCCTGAGTCTTACAAAAGGCTTAGCTTGATTTGGATTGATTGCAAGTGTGTGGCTTTTTGTATTTCAGAAACTTTGTTGACATAAAGAAACTAAATATGTAGTGTATTTTTAACTAAAATGTCTTCTATTACTTAGTATATTTTTATCTCTCAGCTTTTGTCTTTGTTCTGCTGTTTTTTAAATGACTAATACTATACTTTGCCTACTCTAAAGGCGAACAGCTGCTTGGAGAACTACAAGTGAAGAAAAGAAAGCATTAGATCAGGCTAGTGAAGAGATTTGGAATGATTTTCGAGAGGCTGCGGAAGCACATCGACAAGTTAGAAAATATGTTATGAGCTGGATCAAGCCTGGGATGACGATGATAGAAATCTGGTAAAAGGAATACATTTTTATAAGAACATGATAAAAAAAATTTTTATAGTACTAGCTCTCCAGTTGTGATGGTTGGCTTTCATTATCACTTTGGTAAAACTTTTAAGTAAAGTTCTAGTAATATCTGCTAAGATTTTGTAGCATCACTGTAATGAAGAAACCTTCTGTTTTGTACACATGTACACTCGTGCACATGCACTCATTAGCGATTGTTAATTCTGTCTGGAAATCTGTTATTTTGCTGACAATTCATATTAAATAAAAATTCTTTGAGTAAGTACCTAAACACAATACATGATTAAATGCAGTGAAAAAAACCAATAAAAGCAATTATTTCCTCTAGTTTTTCTCCTTGAGAAATGATTAGAGTAAAAGACAGCTTAGTTCTCTGATTCAGGCAGTGTTAAACATAAGCAACATGAGCAAGTGAAATTCGCATTTCAGTTTGTCTAATTCGAGACTCTTATTCCTGGTAAACTAATTTGAAAGAGGATTGCATTTTCTCCAGGTTTCTAGTGGAATTAAACTCCTTGTCTTTTAAAGATGAGCTATTTTCATAGCATCGGAGAATTGTTACTTATTTACATTCAGAAAGTGCTCAGGTTACTCCCAGAAGGTAATTTAAGGGTTTTAGTAAACTTTCTGGACCTGATGAGCTGTAAGGTATATAAGTTTATGGGAGAATTGTTACTTATTTACATTCAGAAAGTGCTCAGGTTACTCCCAGAAAGTAATTTAAGGGTTTTAGTAAACTTTCTGGACCTGATGAGCTGTAAGGTATATAAGTTTATGAATGTGAAGTAAACAAATTCCCTTTTCTTTTTTGTTTTAGTGAAAAGTTGGAAGACTGTTCCCGCAAGCTAATAAAAGAAAATGGATTAAATGCAGGCCTGGCATTTCCTACTGGGTGTTCTCTCAATAATTGTGCTGCCCATTATACTCCCAATGCTGGTGACACAACAGTATTACAGTATGACGACATCTGTAAGATAGACTTTGGGACACATATAAATGGTAAGTTATTGGAAATAATTCCTACCCCACCCTGACCCCCAAAAACCTCAGTTGGATGGAGCTATAAATATTGAACTCCCAAATTTTGTTCTTTCCTGCTCACTTTTCAGTAGACCTGTGTTGAGGCACATTTTGAGATTAACTTTAAAGCATCCTACTAAGTGGAGTGAAATGAAAACTGTTGGGTATTTGAGGTTTTGTATCAAGGCATGAAAAATACAATACTACATTTCTTCATTCGGGTTTCATCCATCATTTATTTGAATATTAACAACAAATATTTATTTAGAACCTTTAAGTTATCAACCTTAATATACATGTTTGCTTTTTGAAATTCTCCCCAAAACTTTGTCAGGTAAGTACCTTGCTATATCACTTTAATAGGTGAGAAAGTAAACGTAGATGAACATTAAACCTTACCTAAGGTTTTACTAAATTGGAGAAGTGGCACTGTTTAGGGCTCTGTGATCATATGCATTTTCTCTGCCCTACATTGCAGTTCCTTATTTCCCTAGTCTTGTCTTGCTTTCATTTTGTTTCTGTTTGCATAACTGCCTGGGTGAGTACTGAATTGGTGCCGTCTTAGAGTAATGCATACTTACCCTGTAATTATTCCTTTAATTCTGAATCCTTTGTATACTTTCTACGTTTTTGCCTCTTTGATGAATGATCTCGGTGTATTTAGAGTGCTACCTTCATTTGAGCCCATCGTTCTATTTTCCTGTTAACTAGCAAGGTTAATAGAGTAGATGCTACAAAGTAGTTAAATTGATAAGTAAACTTAAAGAAGAATTTTCTCTTTCAGGTAGGATTATTGACTGTGCTTTTACTGTTACTTTTAATCCCAAATATGATACATTATTAAAAGCCGTAAAAGATGCCACTAATACTGGAATAAAGGTATGTGAACTATAAGCACCATTTCGTTCAACATATTTTGAGCACTTATAGCCTATTTAAGGTCTTTGGGTAATTAAGGTAAATAAGACTGGCCCACTGCCCTTAGGGTCTTAAGTGGGTAATTGTGATATAGTGTACCAAAGTCTTTTTTTTTTTTTTCCTTCCAACTTTGCTGATATTTATTAAAACAGAGTTTGGATCTATTTTTGCTGGTCAAATTGGCAGTGTTTGTTTTTTATACTTTTTTTAAAAAAGAGTATTTTTTAGAACAGTTTCAGGTTCACAGCAAAATTGAGCATAAGGTAGAGAGATTTCCCATATACCATAGCCCCCTGTCTCCACACACACATAATCACTTCCACTATCAATATCCCCTACTAGAGAGGTATTTGAATATCTCTTAAAATCATTGAACCAGTGTTGACACATATCACATGAAGTCCATACTTTATGTTAGGGTTCACTGTTACTATTGTACATTCTGTGGTTTTTGACAAATATATACTGACATGTATCCACCATTATAGTATCATACAGAGTATTTTCACTACCCCTAGAATCTTCTGTGCTCCACTGATTCATCCCTTCCTCCCCACTAAGCCCTGGTGTAGCCCAGCACCTCACTCCCATAATTTTTGTGAGTGTGTTAAGATTTACCATATTAAATCATTTTAAGTGTACATTTCATTGGTATTATGTTCGTTCATGATGTTCAACCATCACCACCATTCATCTCCATAACCTTTGTTGCAAAATGGAAATTCTATACCCATTAAACAACACCTGATTTCACCCTCCCCCTGGCAACCACAAAATGAGTTAGGAAGTATTCTCTTCAATTTTTTGGAAAAGTTTGAGAAGTATTGGTATTAGTTCTTTAAATGCTTGGTAGAATTCATAAGGGAAGCCTTCAGGTTCAGGGCTTTCCTTTGCTGGGAGATTTTTGATTACTGATTCAGTCTCATAACTAGTTACAGATCTATTCAGATTTTATATTACTTAGTGATTTAATCTTGGTAGGTTGTGTGTTTCTAGGAATTTATCCATTTCATCTAGGTTATCCTGTTGTTACCACACAATTGTTCATAACTCTCTTTTATAATCATTCTTATTTTTGTAGAATCAGTGGTAGTGTTTCCACTTTCATTTCTTTTTTTTTTTTTTGGCAGCTGGCCAGTATAGGGATCAAACCTAGCATCATACTCTAACCAACTGAGCTAACTGGCCACCCTCCACTTTGATTTCTGATTTTACTAATTTGAGTTTTCTCTTTTTTTTCTTAGTCTGTCTAGGTAAAGGTTTATCAATTTTGTTGATCTTTTCAAAGAACCATCTTTTGGTTTTATTGATTTTTTTTTTTTCCTGTATTTTTTCCTATTCTGTTTATCTCTGACTAATCGTATTTCTTTCTTCTGCTTTGGGTTTAGTTGTTCTTTTTGTAGTTCCTTAAGTTGTAACATTAGGTTGTTGACTTGAGATCTTTTATGTTTTTTAATGTAAGCTTTTATAGCTGTGAATTTCTCCCTTTAGCACTGCTTTCACTGCATCCCATATGTTTTGGTATATTGTGTTTTCCTTTTCTAATTGCCCTTGTGATTTCTTCTTTGATCCATTGGTTAAGAATATGTTATTTAATTTCCACAGTTGTGTCAATTTTCTAGTTTTACTTTTGTTATTGATTTCTAACTTCATCCTGTTGTGGCTGGAGAAGATACTTTGAATGATATGAGAGTACTTCAAAAGTTCATGGTGAAATAGAATTAAAAAATAATATGAATCATTCCACGAACTTTTTGAAGTACCCTTGAATATCTTTTTAAATCAGCTGAGACTTAATTTGTGGCCTAACATATAGTCTATCCTGGAAAATATTTCACGTGTTGTATGTATTTTTGGGTGGAGTGTTCTATATGTCTGTTAGATTTATTTGGTTTATTGTGTTAAGTCCTGTTTCCTTCTGTCTCCATTATTGAGGGTGTGGTATCGAAGTCTCCAAATATTACTGTAGAACTGCTTGCTTCTCCCTTCAGTTTTGTCAGTTTTTGCTTCATATATTTTGATGATCTGTTATTAGGTGTGTAAATTTTTATAGTTGTTATACCTTCTTGCTGTACCGAACCTTTTATTTACATTTAAAGTAATTACTAAGGAAGGACGTCTGTCATTTTGCTATTTGTTTTCTACATACCTGACAGCTTTTTTGTTCCTCATTTCCTGCATTACTGCTGTTTTGTTGATTTTTTTGTAGTAAAATGTTTAATTCTTTTTGTGTATATTCTGTATATTTTGTTGTTACCATGGTTATTACATTTCACATCCTAAAGTGATAACACTCTAAATTAATACCAGTTTAACTTTAATAACACAAAAACTCTGCTCCTTTAGAGCTCCAGTCTCACCCCTTTGAGTTCTTGATGTCACAAAATTACATCGATTTACATTGTGTGCCCAAAGACATAAGCTAATAATTCTTTTAAATACATTAGTCTCTTAAATTAAGTAGAAAACAGAATGTGGAGTTACACAGCAAAGTTAAAATAATACTAGCTTTTAGATTAAAACTAATTTTTTTTAAAAAAGTGTTAGTTCCTTAAATCATGTAGAAAAAAAAAGTTTTACAAAATATTACAATAATACTAGTTATTATAATTTGCCCCTTTATTTATCTTTATTGAGGTTTGTATTTCTTACATGGCTTCAAGTTGCTATCTAGTGTCCTTTCACCTTGTAGGGCTTCCTTGAGCATTTCTTGCAGGGCAGGTGTCTCAGTCTGTTTTCTGTCACTTATAGTAGAATACCTAAAACTGGGTGGTTTATAAATAAATAAAATTTATTTCTTACAGTTCTGGAGGCTGGGAAGTCTAAGGTCTAGGGACACATCTGGTGAGGACTTTCTTGGTAGGGACTCTGCAGAGTCCCAAGGTGGTGCAAGACATCATGTGGTGAGGGGGCAAGAGCCACGTGTGCATGTGTGCATATGTGTGCTCTCCTTACAGAGCCACCAGTTCACTCTCATGGTAGCCCATTAATCCGTAAACAGATTCACCTCTGAAAGACCCCACCTTTCAAATATCACAGTTGGATTTTACATCCTCTTAATACTGTTACAGTGGGGATTAAGTTTCAGCATGAGCTTTGGAGGGTACATTCAAACCATAGCAGTAGGTGTAGTAATGAACTCCCTCAGCTTTTGTTTATCTGGGAATGTCTTAGTTTCTCCTCACTTTTGAAGGACAGTTTTGCTGGATATAGGATGCTTGGATGATGGTTTGTTTTCTTTTAGTACTGTGAATATATCAGCCCAGTGCCTTTTGGCCTCCAAAGTTTCTAATGAGAAATCTGCTTATAATCTAATTGAGGATCGCTTGTATGGGATGAGTCACTTCTCTTTTATTGCTTTCAAGATTCTTTCTTTGTCTTTTTTTTTTTTTTTTTTGTCTTTTGTCTTTTTTCCGTGTCCGGCAACGGATCGCAACCCTCAGTGTTGCCCCCGTACCGGACTAGGGACCGGCAACGGGATCGCAACCCTCGGCGCTGCTCCCGCGCCTCGCTCAGCCAGTGAGCGGGAACCGGTCTGTATGTGGGATCCGAATCCTCGGGCGGGAGCGCCGCCGCGCTTCCCAAGCGGCGCACTATCCAGTGTGCCACCGGGCCGGCCCCTTTCTTTGTCTTTAGAAAATATGATTGTAATGTGTCTCGATGTGGGTCTCTTTGAGTTCATCATACTTTGAACTTTTTGAATGTTTATATTCATGTCTTTTATCAATTTGGGGAAGTTTCTAGCCATTATTTCTTCAAATGTTTACTCTGTCTCTTTTTCTCTCTCTCCTTCTGACACTTCTTCAATGCATATATTGATCTACTTGATGGTGTCCCTCAGGTCCCTGAGTTTATGTTCACTTTTCTTTAAATCTTTTTTCTTTCTGTTCCTCAGACATGATAATTTCCCTTGTCCTATTTGCAAATTGGCTGATTCTTTCTTCTGCTTGCTTAAATGCCTTTGAATTCCGCTAGTGAATTTTTCATTTCAGTTATTATACTTTTCGGCTCCACAATTTTTTAATTTCTTTTAGGTTTCCTTTCTCTTTACTTATATTTTCATTTTGTTTATACATTGTTTTCTTGACTTTCTTCATGTCCTCCCGTAATTCTTTGAGTATCTTTAAAAGAGTTGTTTTAGAGTCTTTGTCTGCCATCAGCTTTTTTTCAGGGATAATTTCTGTTGGTTATTTTTTTCCTTTGCGTTGTTCTTTCTTATTTTGTTTGTAAGCCTTGTGATTTTTTGTTAAACATTGGACATTTCAATCTAATGTGGTAACCTTGGAAATCAGATTCTCTCCCTTCCGCAGGGTTTGCTGTTTTTTGTTATTATTTTTGTTTATTATCTTTGGATTTTTAAAAAATTTGTGTAGCTCTGTGGCCAAGGATTCACCTGAGGTGTAAGCTTAAGGTTTTCTGAAGTCTTTTCTGAGCCTGTGCCTTTCCCTGTGTGTGTGTACTTACTTGTTAATTTTTCTCATATATGCAGTTGTTTTTAAATGTCCTAGCCTTTAATGTCTGGCTCCCAAAAGGGGAAAAAGAGAAAAATGAAGGGAGGGGAGAAAATAGGACATTGTTTTTTTAAATCTCTTGGCAGTCACATCAGCCAGAGGAGTAGGGTTAGAGGTTGAGGTGCAGCAGCAGTGGCCGCCCAGGTCTTTGTCTGCACCTCTGTGACCAGAAGTAGCAATCAGGTATTAGAGCACAGATCCTCCATATTTAGGATACCACACTGGCTTCCCCAAGCTGTGTGCAGGTTACTCCAGGAACAGATACCTGCCACAGGTCTTGTGTTAGGGGATGGGTTACCGCTACTGTGCAAAAGCTAAAATTGATAAAAATTAACTGCACTTTGCCATCCAATCCTTTTCCTGGAAGTTGCAAGCCTTCAGTAGACTCCAGAATTCCCAAATTGTTAACATCAGATGGATTCTGTTGGTGCCTTTGCTATCTAGTAGGGGAGACAGTGCCTGTTGCTTACTTCTCCACTTAATGCTTCTTACATCTCCCTTAATGCTTCCTAAAGTCTTTTATGCAGGAAGTTATAATGTACAAAGCATTTTTTCTGATTGTTTCTTACTGTAAAATATTAAGAAATTAAGTTGCTGTATTTTGCACTTTGAATAACAAAGTATACATTATTCTGTTTTAGTGTGCTGGAATTGATGTTCGTCTGTGTGATGTTGGTGAGGCCATCCAAGAAGTTATGGAATCATATGAAGTTGAAATAGATGGGAAGACATATCAAGGTTTGTTCTTTTAAAATGTGTCTTATTTTGAAATTCATTTTACAAACTGCCGTTGGGTTGCTTCATCTTTATATCTTGGGAATATAAAGAAGGAAAACAGAGGAAATGGCCTGCTCAGAGCATGGTAGGAATACTGTGGCCACTTAACCTGGAACTGTTGCCAGGCTATTCTGTTAAATGGTAAGAAGACAGCTGGGGAATTCCTAGGATAGCCAAAATATGGACTAGGTTTTCTGTGACTAGTCAAATCAAGGCTCAGGGAGAAGCCAGAGGTCCTTTCTATTGATGACTTCCCAATTTTTTTTTTTTATATGAGTCACATTCAGAATTTGGAGTTTAGTTAATTCCTGTGTGTCCCTTCAATTCTTAAGCCCCTTTGCCTCCCGGTCTTTCCCAGCCACTGCTTTAGGTATGTAGTCCCAGAGTGCTTTCTGGTGTTCTATATTCATCTCCATCAGTCCAGCCTCCTCCCAACTCCCAGGTCTACCTGATCATCTGCCAGCCAACATCCTCCCTCATTTATGCTCATTACTGTCTATAACCCTAATAACTTCCTTGCAGAATATTTTCTACATTTCCTTTGTATCCTTTCTCTCCTTTATAGATCTTTGAGTGGAGACTCCCATCTTGCTTCCTTGCCCCTCAGGAAATTCTTCTCATTATTCAGCATTCTTTGATTTTCCACAGCATTCTTTGATTTTCCCTGTTGCAATTATAACCGTTGCATTTCTACAAAGTACAGAAGTGGCTCTTCCTCTCAGACTTGACAGTGCCTGTCCTTGTTCTCTCATTTCTAAAGTCCATTCAACTGCTTGAATTTGACATCTGGCACCATCCTAACTTCTTTTGGCATCCTGGGTGGCTTCAATATCTATACAGGCAGTCCAGTTAATACATGGGCATCACCTGTCACCTGACCAGTGAGCTCGATGACTTTCACCTCCATAACAGTCCTCTTCCATGTCCAAATACTGACTGGAATTTATCACTAGTCTATACTCTTAAACAGCAGCTAGCCTTTTTCTTTCCAGCTCTTTCATTTTCTTTACATTTATTGCTTGCTTCTTCCATTCCTTTATAGCTTTTTTTATATCAAGATGTTTTCTGGGGCCGGCCCGGTGGCGCACTGGATAGTGCGCCGCTTGGGAAGCGCGGCGGCACTCCCGCCTGAGGGTTCGGATCCCACATGCAGACCGGTTCCCGCTCACTGGCTGAGCGAGGCGCGGGAGCAGCGCCGAGGGTTGCGATCCCGTTGCCGGTCCCGGTCCGGTACGGGGGCGACACTGAGGGTTGCGATCCGTTGCCGGACACAGAAAAAGACAAACAAAAAAAGATGTTTTCTTTATTCCCCCCATCTGCCACTCATTTCATTTTCCTCCTTCCTGCCCAAACCCCATGTTGACAACTTCAATTCTTTCATTTACACCTTGAACTTCATTATTGCTTTGATTTTCAGATATTCTTTTCCTGCAGATCTCTAATCCTATAAACATCAGTGCAAACCAAAATCTCCTAAGGCTGCTCACACACTTGGATAGTGAAGAAAATACACTTTGGGGTCAGGAGGTTATAACTTTGAATTTAGATAAATCCTATAAACCTCTTAAGTACCCAAGAATCTTTGACTGTGATAGGATTAATGATATCATGGTTTGTTTGTTTGTGAAAAATGTAAATTAAATTACAATGGAATTTTTTTCTTTTTTCTTTCTGGTGACTGGCCAATACAGAGATCTGAACTCTTGACTTTGGTGTTACGACACCATGCTCTGACCAGCTGAGCTAACCAGCCAGCCCAGTGCCTAGAATTTATTAGGTATTCAACAAATACTTGTCATTTCTCTCTCTTCCTGCTCTTCATTCTGGGATTGGTGCCACAAATATAGTGCTTATTTAAGTTCTCATCTTTTTTCCCTTCTCTCTTAGGAGATTACTTACTTGATCAGAAGGTGGCCAAAGAGGCCTAACATTCTTTAACTTTTGACATGTCACAAAAAGAAAATCCCACCTTTTACTTACTCTTATCATTTTTTTTCTTTGTCCTTCCAGGAAGAAGGACTTTTTCTTTTATTCAAAGTTAATCCTCCCACCTTTGGGGGGATATTCCATTATTATCCCTTTTTCCCCACATTCCTAGTCTTTCCCTAGTGGCTCCTCTAAGTGGAAGAGAATGAAAATTATAGCACTAGATTGCCACCCATGGTTCACATATTCTGATTTTGGCTTTTATTTATTGTCATGAAATTTTCAAAATTTGTTTGTACATGAAAAGCAGGGGGTTTAAATTTATGTCCCTTAGTAAGGGTGAATTTACTTTTTCCACATGTCCTAGTCAAAGCCATAGGAGAACAAACAATTTTTAAAGGCTAGAAAATAGAATGTCTCATTTCCAGTTTGCTTTTCTTTGCAAAATGTTTTGTCCAGCACTTTAAAAAACTTAGAACCAGTTCTAGGATTTGCTGCTTCTGTTAATACCTCAGACTTAGTAATAACATTAGCTTCCCAGAAGCAGTATTCTAACGCTGGAGAAAACAGATTAAGAGAATAAATGCCAAGTATTTTGAAGAATTTGTGGGACTAGAATATAAGCCTTCTGATTTCTAGGTTCATTGCTACAAATGAAGAGTCTATTCTGTTCTTTCCAAATTTGTGACTTAGTCAACATGAAATGAAAACCATAGGCTACCTGAAGACTGACTACCTCTAGACTGAGTTATTTCTCTTTTATGAGAATTTGCCAAGATTATTATAAATTCCAACAGCAGCCAACTTACACCGGTATCCTTTATTTTTCTCTGTTTTCTAATTGTACAGCTTGGTTGACATGTGGTCTGCCTTTCAAGGTATTAGTAGGTGACAGTTTGATTTAATATTTAGTTACCACATAATAATTCCAGCCTGCAACATTGGAATCCTTAATATCTGCCTTCTTACCTCTTCCGCTAAGCTAGTGCAATGTTTTAGGTTCTTTAGGTTTATTTCAGCATCCCTCTTTTTGATACCCATTATTGTATTGATCAGGGTTCTTAGATGAAGGTGACAGAATTCGCTAAGCTAGTGCAATGTTTTAGGTTCTTTAGGTTTATTTCATTATCCCTCTTTTTGATACCCATTATTGTATTGATCAGGGTTCTTAGATGAAGGTGACAGAATTTACTTTTTTATTTTAAGCAGAAAGAGTATAGAAAAATCATGATATTGGAAAGATGAATCAATAGACTGGGCTGAACTTTCAGAAACAATTCCAAAAACCACACAGGAGAACTAGGCCATCAAGTGAGTGCCTTTATCTCCCTTGATCAGGAAACTATAGAATTAGGAAGTTACTTATACAGATATTGGTCCCAGAATTAGCCTGTGGCTGTCACAATCTGTATAAGTAAAAATGGATACCACTGTATCCTGTTTCTTCTAACTTATTACGTGTTAGGTTGGTATGGCTAACTATTTTATTCAAAAACGTTTTTGATTGTTTTATAGAGTCAGTTTGCCAGGTCTTGGAGAAACAGTAATGCTGTCTGAATTTTAAAATAAATTTAGCCTATTGTTTATATAAGAAGGAAGGTCTTTTAGAGCACTAAGAGTTTTATTTTTCTGTGCCACACCCCTAAATTTGTAATATACTTGTCATTGTTTCATTTATATGGATTTGAAAAAAAAAACTTGCTACCTAATTCTGCTCTAGAAGAAAGGTAGCTCATACTGATGATTCTAGGGCTATACATAGAGCTAGATTTGTTAAACCTTTTTTTAAATTTTGAAATAGTTAACACTGAAAATGGACAAAGCGTAGAAATTCAGCTTCTCAATTGCAAAAGCTATGTAAGCTCACTCTTCAAGAAATCAAGTTTTAACAGCATTCCAGAAGACTCTGAATTTCATGTCTTTAGTCTATTTTGTGCTGCTATAATAAAATACCTGAGACTAAGTAATTTATAAGGGACAGAAATTTATTTCTCACAATTCTGGAGGCTGGGAAGTCCAAGGTCAAGGGGCCAGCATCTGGTGAGGGCTGGGAGAGAGGGGGAGAGCAAGAAAAAGGGGGCCAAATTCATCCTTTTCTAAAGATCTCACTCCTTTGAGAACAGCATTAATCCATTCATGAGGGCAGTGCTCCCAGAACCGTAACATTAGGCTATAACTTTCAACACTGCAGCATTGGGAATTAAGTTTCCAACACATGAATTTTGGGGGACACCTTTAAAACATAGCACTCATTCGAGGGTCCTTCAAAAAGTTCATGGAATGCTTTGTATTTTTTAATTTGATTTTTCCGTGAACGTTTTGAAGTACCCTCATATATCTCTTCCCAATTATAGCAGTCTTCTTCTAGTGAACCACTGTCTTCAGGACTCAAGTGTTTGTGTTTGCTTTTCTTTGTCTTTACTATCTAATTATGCATCCCTAAACAGCAGTTTGATCATGCTCAATTTATATATACATATATTATATACATGCACATATATACACACATATATATGTATGTATATGGAATTACACAGTTTGTATATAATTGTGCCTTCTTTTGCTCATTTTATCTTTAGGTTTTATTCCAGTTGTTAAATGTTTTTTGTTTATTGTTTAATAGTGTTTATCTATTCTATTATTAATCTGTGGTCACTGGGATTATTTAGATTTTCTTTTTTAACATTTGAATGTTGATGTAAGGTTTCATAATACTGTCGTTTTGACACAGTATCTTCATATTCACATTACCTTTTGGTCCATAACCATACACAGATACTTTTCATGTTTCTAATCATGTATATCACATTTTATTTTTTTATTAACAGTATCTCCTGAGATGACCCCCATTGTGTCCTCATAATTTATTTTTCTTCCATTCCCCCTTACTTCTTTCTAGTATTTAATAACACTGCAAAAGACTTTCATATTCCAGTAGATTCCAGTTTATATTTAACCACCATAATGTGAAGCTGTTTAGTAGAGCCATATCTTGTTTTTAAATAAATGCTTGAACTCTACCAGAAGGCCAAGAGATCTGTTTGTGCTTCCAGAGACCCTAAATAACTCTTATTTCTCTATTTATTATGACAGTGAAACCAATCCGTAATCTAAATGGACATTCAATTGGTCAATATAGAATACATGCTGGGAAAACAGTGCCCATTGTGAAAGGAGGGGAGGCAACAAGGATGGAGGTATGTATGTCATTTATCACTTCTGAAAAACCGTTTTGATTTTTTTTCCCCCCCATAGTATGTTGAACAAAATTAGCTTGCCATCCATCCTCACCTAGCAGGAGTTGGGCTGAGTGTGCAGATTGTGTCTGGACAGGCCAGGGCTCAGTCAGCTATGGAAGTTGGGGTTGTCAAAGGATTGCTTCTTCAACATTTAATGATTATTCATTGAGCATCTGTTAGGTGCCATTCTCTTTAGTAGGTATTGGGGGTGTATCTGTAAACAAAACAATTCCCTGCCCATTTATAGTCTGCATTCTAATAGGAGGATGCAGAAAGACCAGGAGATAAAGTAGGGAGAGATTGGATAAGAAGTGTCTGAGGAGCACTGGACAGATCATCTAGGCAACAAATCAACAGAGTAACCATTATTCTTTCAGAAGGAGAGAAGAAATCTAGGGCAATTAGAGGGGGGAGGGGGATGGAGAGAGATTGGACAAGGGACATAAAGAATAAGTATGATTTGTAACAATATATATGCTAGTAATATTGATTTGATCAACATATCTCAATGTTGAACCCCCAAAATATGTATAACAATTTTGATTTAAAAAAAAAAAAAAAGTGCCTGAGGAGGATATTTCATGTTGCTGCTTACATCAGATAGGGAAGTCAAGAAACATTTACTCTGATTAGTTCTGAATTTTTCTTTCCTCCCCTTGACCCTTATGTATTTTTTAAGGAAGGAGAAATATATGCCATTGAAACCTTTGGTAGTACAGGAAAAGGAGTTGTTCATGATGATATGGAATGTTCACATTACATGAAAAATTTTGATGTTGGACATGTGCCAATAAGGTGAGAGACTATTAATTTTATATGACTAATAAGTATCTCTTCCCAGTTAACAGCATTTTAAAAAATGTGACAGAAAGGTGGTACATTCATAAATGTATGGTTCTGTAGCCTAACAATAAGTTCTGTGGGTTTAAATAATATAGCAAAAAAATTAGGCTGTTAAAAATTTAAACCGAGATAAAGATAAAGATATAGGCAAGTGTTCTCTTCAGATCAAGTTTCTGATAATCATAACTATTGGAGACTTTTTGCTGGCATTACAAGGTTTTTGTTCTTAATATTCTCCTGTTGATAAACTTCATATTTCAGTTAACACTGGATTTTTTTACCTTCTGGAGAAAATGATTGAAGGCTGGATTTACACCTCTTTTTATGTGCAGGTCTTTGAGCTTAATGCTCAAAAAAAAGAAATTCCTAAAGTAATATTCCTAAAGTAATATTCCAAAGTAATACTCTGTAGATGGGCCTGTACTGGGAATTTCACACACACATGCATAGACACATAAATGTAATAAAATAGCTTTTTGCAGGTTTTTCCTATTCAGCTGCCATTTATAACTAGGAATGGGCTATTATGCCTTCTAGCTTTTGATTGTTCAAAGAGCAACAACAAAATTTTTTTAACTTTAATTACTAAGAAAAAGCTAAGTTTTGGTTTTTTCTTAATGGGGGAAGTGGGTTGATAACTCTTTTTGCCAACTGTTAATCTTGGATTTTCTCCTTTTAGGCTTCCAAGAACAAAACACTTGTTAAATGTCATCAATGAAAACTTTGGCACCCTTGCCTTCTGCCGCAGATGGCTGGATCGCTTGGGGGAAAGTAAATACTTGATGGCTTTGAAGAATCTGTGTGACTTGGGCATTGTAGATCCATATCCACCATTATGTGACATTAAAGGATCATATACAGCGCAGTTTGAACATACCATACTGTTGCGTCCAACATGTAAAGAAGTTGTCAGCAGAGGAGATGACTATTAAACTTAGTCCAGAGCCACCTCAGCATCTTTATTTTCTAAGTTTTGTTGGAATACATTACACCAGAATTAATTTGCAACATGTTGTCTGTTTTAACAGTGGACCCATGTCATACTTTTATCCGTGTTTAAAAAAGAAGGAATTTTATCAAAGGCAAACCATCTAATGTAATTAACCAAGGAAAAAGCTTTCAGGACTTTCAAATGTTAACCTGTTTTTCCTCCCATCTAGGAAATGCTATAAAGCGCAAATTAGTTAGGAATGACTTAAACATTTCGTTTTGAACACGTAAGAAATGCTTTTCGGGTATTTATATTGCCATATTCTTACTTGAATGCTTTGAATGATTACATCCAATTCTGCACCTAAGCCCTCTGGTATTGCTTTTTAACCTTCCTGGAATTCATTTTCTAAAAAATAAAGACATTTTCATATCTGAGAGCTACATTTCAATGTCTGTGGTTATAATTCTGGACAGGAAATAGCAAAACTTAATGTAGGGGACATGTAGAGACTTTTATCTGGATTGTAGACCTCTACACTGAGACTTTCTTCTGGCGTAGTGGTTAAAACAAGATGTGTACATGCATAAATAAATGTATGGCTTTAGGAATATTTTGCCTTTCTTTATAGGACCATATGCTTGTCTTTCATTTTCTTCCTTGACATTGGAAAGATGTACTAATTGAAACATGACTTTGTAGGAACATTGTGCCAACTTGAAACCTTGGCGTTTAGATCTTTTTCCAGTGGTAGTATTTATTGGGAAATGAGCTTACTCAAAAAACCAAAAGGGCATTAAAACCACAAAAGCAAAAAAAAAAAAAACTTTCCATGTTTGGATCTTATTAGGCTTTTTCATTAATGAGCCAAACGCTGTTAACACCCTGCCCCTTGACTGGTTTGAATTCATTACAAGTGGCATTTCAGGAAGTGAGGTTGCAGTTACCCTCCTTATAGCAGCTAAGTATATTAAGTTGAATATAAGGATGTATATTTACTTGTTTGAACTTAGCCCCACTACTGATTCTTTAACAACTTGCTTGAATTCTTATATGTAAATAATTTGATAGGAATGTTCCAACATTTCAAAGTTGTTATGTACCAAGGTAAAGGCCTAATTTGTATATGCTTTAAACACAATGAGATTTTATTGCCTTTGGGATGCTGTTTTTAACGTTTTTCTCATGGCAAGAGAAACCTGTGACTTCTGTACCTAGATTCTCATTTGTTACTTTAAAAAGCTGCTCTTTTCAGCATTAGAGCTATAAATGAATGTTAACCTTGTGGGGAAAACAATGTAGTTTTTAGCTGTATGAGCTATGTTTTACTATGGTGCTAATGTTTGATAGCTACCTTTGAATCTTCTGTGCTTTTGCTTGTAGCAGAGCTCACTAATTCATGCCTGGACATATTATAGGGCTTGGGCCCTCCAGCTAGCTCCTTTGGGGTTTTGAGTCCATATCTTTTTGATGTGCTTTGGTGAGAAGTATAAAGCAAGTGTCTTGATTTCTAAACAAACCCAGGAATTTTAGAACTGACCCCCTATGGGTGAAGAATTGTGGAGCTGTATAAGACCTCTTCAGCAGTGGTGATCTCAATTATGAGCTCCAAGCTCCCCAGGTAACTGTTGGGAGAGATGGCATGCCTCCAGAATGGCTCAAAGTGATATATCTTGTAAATAGGAAAGCTGTTACTTAAAGAAAAAACTATTGTTTGCCTACTAGCCATGTATCTCTTGATATTGTTATGTTTACAATGATGTACCTTATTGGTAACAAATTAGTTTGATGTTTAACAATAGTGCCTTTAGTAAATTATTTTACAACCAAAACACTTTCGGGTTTTTGTTAGATCAATTTAGCAGAATCTAGAAGTCCATGTTGAGATTTAAGATATACAGTAAGAAAAATGTTTAGGTTTTCATTTTTGTTGGTTATTTTAAGACTTAAACACAGTTTTAGGTTCACAGCAAAATTTAGTGGAAATTATTACAGATTTCCCATATATCCCGATTCCCCACACACTCCCTCCCTCCATAGATGTTATAAGGGATTAAAAGTAAAGGTCCAAGTCATTTTCTCAGATTTTTACATTGTAATAGTACAGTTGCTTGTACTTATTTCAAACAGTTCAGCAGTTATTTTTAAATCCCATTAAAATTAGATGCTAAAATGTGTAACATTTAAAAAATAGTTCTTGAAATTAAAGGCTAGACTCAGGTATCTTGACCACATAAATCTTTAATGAGGTGTAAGTATATAACAGTTGAGGTAACAATTTGCATAGGCATTTAGTGAATGATTTTTAGACCTAGCCATTTAATATGCCCACTATATTTTTGGTATGAATGATTTTTGTTCAGTGATAAATTCTCATTGCACGTCACTGTCAGCTGCCCCAGATTTGTTTTCTGAAATTTAGGAAAAATTTGCTAATAGATGTTTCAAGTTTATACTTATAAATGATCACTAATGGCAAACAGCATTCTGCAGAATATTATGTCCTTCATTAAGATTTCAACCTGCAAATAAACCCATTTAAAGGGATACATGATCTTCCAGTGGTTAACACTGAGCTTAAGATCTTAAATAGCTGATCTACAGAGGTTAGTGGATTCTCCCCTTTCTGAATAAGTTAGCAGCAGTAGGACTTTAAAGAGACTAGTAAGATTATCAGAAGAGGAAAGAGTGTCTCACTGTAGTTTTAATAAAATGCAGGTTTAGATAATTTTTTTTAAAAGAATGCTGGGGCCCAGTGTTTAAGAGGCTCCTAGTAGGCACATAATCCTAGCAAGAGTAAGCAAGCCAGGCTTTAGTTATTTAGAAAAATAAGATGGTAGACATTGTTCAGTTGCCAGTTTGGAGCAACTATTTCCTTTGCCCTATGCAATTTTTTTTATTTCAAGACATTTTTATTCCTTTGAACTAAAAGTCTCAAAATACACAAGCTTTAAAAGATCTAATGTTATCAAACAAAATTAACTCATACCCAAGACAAAATGTATAACATCATACTAGTTTGCTAAATACAAAATTCTTGTATGACTGCCTTATTAGAATCTGGACAAAACTGTTTGCTGCCAGACAAATCACCATCATAAGTCCCAGCCATCATTTTTTTCACGTCCATAGTTCTGAAGTTCACTTAAACATACTGTTAGTAAAGCTGCCATTTTCATTTAGATACAGTTTGACTATGCAAAGTAGTTATTAAAAATTTTTTAAGTTCCATTAGCCAAAGTAATGTCTATTGAGTTCTGTAATGCACAAAGCATCAGCAATATCAATGAATGTAACTGATGAGTATTTAGGTGATACCTTGATATTTCACTTTAAATGTAAATTAACTCCCTTCAAGGGGTAAAGAAGGGGGAGTTTAATACAAAAGGCATGATAAAAATGCCTTTTTTGGGTCAAAACTATTAGTGAAGAAAGCATCTAGTTTTCCATCTGTTAAAAATTTGTATAGAAAATAGCCACAAGAGATAATTAACAAATGTATAAAAAGTGGTGCCACCTGAATGTCTTCAGTAGAAGACTGCACAAATTCATGATCTGAGCCAATTAAGACATCAAAATATAAAAGGTACCACCAGCCTGAGGTAAACGATATAAGTTTAAAACTCCCAAGTATTTGAAAGTTTAGTTACCTGCAATCAATATGCATATATTTATACTTTGTGTAAAAAAGTTTTGCTATAGATACAAAATGTGTAAATGTAGTGCACACTGATTGATAAGTAAAAAATAAAACAATGAAGCTCAAAATTGTAAGTCAGCCCTTTAAAAAAGTATATATACAAATCACAAAAAGAAAGCCCCTCTGTCTTTGGATCAGCTAAGGATTTCATTAGAAGAGGTATCAATTTCTTCACTGGGATGCTGGCTACCAGACAGGAGCTCTGGAGGCAAAAGTTTAGAATGTCCATTCTCAGTAACTCGCTGAGTATAAAACAAGATATAAGCTTGGGCCTTGCATACTTCATCCATAGTGCACATGCTTAGCTTGGAATCATTGCAGTGTACCCAGAACCCTAGAGTGAAACAAAAATAACGATGTTCATAGTATAAAGGTCATTAAGTTTCAGTGAGAGTTAAGTTGTTTCTAAAGGGAAAATAATTTAGCCAATTCGTTTTTCCTTTCTTCAATGAGAAATATAGCTTGGGCAGTATAACTCTGGAATTATCTACCTTTATTCTACAAGTAGTTTGAAGTTATAGAATCTGACCAATTAGAGTACTTGACATTCTATTTTTGGTATAAACCTACCAATTAATGCTTTTGCCACTAGTTATAAAGCATTATATTATTAAGTTATTAAATCATATTATAAAGTTAGTGTACAACTAACATTTGGTAGTTTACTGAATTAATTGCCTTAATGGATTATTTGGGCTTTTTCTTTTGGGGCAGCTGGCAGGTGTGGGGATCTGAACACTCTAACCAACTGAGCTAACCAGCAAGCCCTATGGGTGGGTGCGTGTGTTGGGGATGTGTGTCAGGGGTGTATATGTGTGGGTGGTTCATTCACTGTTCAAATATAGGTACCAGGAGGGTTTGTGTGTGTATTGGTGGTTCATTCATTGTTCAAGTGCAGGTACCAGGAGGGAAAGTAAAAAGTGAGCCCTCAATCCAATTACTTTTTAGGACTAGACAGTCCTAGAAGGATCCATGGAGACAGCAAATAAAAGGGAGTTTCGTATGCTAAACCTGAGCTCAATATTTGTTCCAAATATCTCCCAGTTCATTAGGTGCCCTGTTCATTGACAAAATTAACTGAAACCAGTAAAACACGAAACCTGCTCTTGGATGTGTGCCTTTAAGAAAAGATAACAGTCTTTCAACTTTTCATTAACAAGACTATCCTCATTATCCTATTCCTACAGCTCTTAAGTAATCAAACCTGCAGAAAATATAACTCATTTTCTGCACACACACACCCCCACCCCTTCTTTCCCCCCAACCAACAGTACTGCAGAATTATTCTTCTAGAAAAAGTGGTCAGGTGAATTTGCTTAAGATGATTTAGTGGTCAATTCAGAAACTGTAAAAGCCTGAATTCTAGCTTCCAAGTCTAATCCAAGATAAAATATTTTTTTTTCCTATCTATACCTCCTTCAGAGTTATAGCAGTAGGCAGTGTAGTGTCCTGAGCCAAATCCTTTCCCATGGTGCATTACTACAGCAGATAAGTCATAGATAAAGCATTCTGGTCTGAGGGATTTCAGGGTCTCTCTGCAGCAATAGGGCTCCATGTTTAAGATTTCCTCAAAGCCAACATGAATACCAATCTTCTCTCGGTTATTACGTCCTGACCACCTGTGAACAAACCAGAGCAGATCAACAAAATCAAGGGAAAATTACCAAGTAGTAAGTCTAGATAGTATGGAATACAAAGTATCATATATATAATAAGACCCTGTCAATGCTGATATTGCCTATAAATGGAGAGATTTAGGCTTACTGCCAAACAGGTCCAACCAAGTTTTAAAATAAGTATTTGCCTTCTGTAGTCAATTGATAATATAGGAAGAAAATTAACGTTTAGGAAAAAAATTATAGCCCTATGAGCATTTTCCCTTCTAACAGGTAAAGTCAAGGCACAAAAGAGTTTTTAATTCCTTACTGTCTTGCCACTGTATGAAGAGCTATCTCAGAAGGAAGATATCGTTTCGATTTTTCTTAGCCAGTTATGGAGGGAACAAACCACGACACCTCTAATTCCTCAGAACACTTCATAGCTCTTCAACATAACACCCATTAGTGATAGAACTCAAAGAATGCCCTTGTGCTGTCATTTTCTCAATCTGTTGGTCACGCTTCTCATTATGGATCTAAGCATGGCAAGCAATGTTTTTATCATACGCATACTGTGAGTTGGTGCTATGGGGAAAAATAATGTAACATGGTAATTCTTGCAAGAGATGATACCCGGTTTGGGATAGTACGGTACACAGACAAAAGACAGACATACACAAGAATATTGTAATAATAAAGTACTAAAACATGAGGTTCAGACAAACAATAGCAGGTAGAGAAGGGAGAGAGGAACATAAGTTTTATTTAGAAAAAAATGAAAATGCTTAGTACAATGTAAAATGGTACAGAACTAAAGATGAGCTATGTAAATTATGTCTTCTGCTGAACTAGAAGTCATATTTAAATCCCTCTGTGATTCTGTGAAATATATATTTGGTCCCCATTTAGTGACATACAGCTTCTAAAATCCCTGGAATCTCTGAAGTGATAAGAGTGTCTTGTATGCTAATGAGTTCACCACTGGCCAGCAGCCTTTAGGATGGGGGCTGGTCCTAGAAAAGACAAGTCCTGCTTAGAGGGTTGGGACATTCAGCCTCACCCCCAGCCTCTGTGGAGGGGAGAGTGCCAAGGTTAAATTGATCACCAACGGCCAATGATGTAATTGATCATGCCTTCATAAGATAGACTCCATAAAAACTGAAAAGGACAGAGTTCACGGAGCTTCCGGATAGTTGAACACGTGAAGGTCCCTGGAGGGTGGTGCACCTTTGGAGGGCATGTAAGTTCTCCTCCCCTTCCCACATGTCTCTGTCTATGCATCTCTTCCATCTGGCTGTTCACTTGTGTCCTTTAAAATATCTTTTGTTAAAAATGGGTAAATGAATGTAAGTGCAGAGTTTCCCTGAGTTCTGTGAGCTCCTCTAGCAACCTGAGGAGGGGTCATGGGAACCTCAACTTACAGTCAACTGATCATCAGAAGTTCCCCAAGCCTGGACTTACAATTGGCATCTGAAGTGGGGAGCAGTCTTGTAGGACTGAGCTGTCAACCTGTGGAATCTGACACTACCTCCAG